GAGTGTTGATTTAATTAGCATATATTTCTTTTCAATGCTCAAAATAGAATTTTCAAAGTATTCATAAATTGTTGCTTTTCATTATAAAGCTTTACCCGAGGCTTTACCTATTCCTCAATTTCACTTTATTTTAGGGGATATTTTAGCGTTTTACTAAAAAATGCTCTGTAAATCGGTTTTTGGGTTGCGAATTCGGATTCAGCATAAAAAAATACACAAGACCTATGTACTCGTGATACTGGTACAGTAGGTACTACATATTTATTTTTGTGGGGTTTTGTTATCTAATTATTATTATTATCTCTAATTATTATTCGGGTTATTTTAGTCATGTCAGTTTACGAGGTTTGTGAAAGAGAAGAGTTACTGAGTACAAAATAAAGAAGACAAAGGTTATATGGTTATATCTATAAAATTCCTGTTAGCGAAACTCATATCCAGATAGGTATATTGTATAGCATAATACCTACATTATGTAGAAAATAATCTGCTTTGCGTCCTAAGTTTACGAAAAATTATAGATTTTTCAATAGATATGCATATGGAAAATGTACCAATCAAGTCGTTGGTATTAATAAAATGAAAACCGCTCCAAATTTAAAACTGCCACACCCGAAAGACTATCACTGTTTCAAACGCTCTACTGTGGTGACATCAGCTGATTCTGGATCAGACATGACTTCCATCAAAAGATATGGGGGTTAAAAGTCTACAGCATCGATAAATATCTGATATCCACCGAAATAGTAGGAGTTTCTGAACAAGATTAAAAGATTCCTTGTCTCCACGTCTGTAATGAACTTAATCAATTTGCAATTTTGGGTTGACATTTTATCGTACAGAACATTTTGCGTAAAAATCAACGGCCTCATTTTTAATAACTTAACATAAATAATAAATATGAGTTTATGATTTATTTGTTTATTTAAGATAATTTTTCGGTATTGCGACAAGCTTAGTAATATTTTACAACTAATTTATCTGGATCATGTAACTAGAAACAAAACTAATAGAAGTATTAAAATAGTAAGGTTTCAAAAAACAATAGGTCAAAAGTTATATTTATTTATATTGTATAATACTATTCTATTATAATTAAAAACAATATGGTCACCAAATAGATTTTAAAAAGAAGATAAAAAGTATATACAGAGCCTTCGTAAATGTTTACAAGCTGCGTGACCGCTGAACTTAGGCAACCTAACAACGCACAATTGGTACTGGTACCGATTTAGATCTTGGCGTCTACCAATATTAATGATTCATTTCTAATGCAATGACAGACACTCCGTTACGTTTAGATTCGAGATAATACGATCGCTTATTGGTTGAATAGAATCTTGTGAAAAATTAAACCAATAATGGTCGAAGAAACAGAATTTTAATGTATTCTTAATTTTATTGTTTTAATTTTACAGAAATTTATTTGCTAACGTGAAGGAAATAAAATTACTGTTCCACACAAAATTAATGGTCGTACGTGGCCTGTAATCATTTATGAAGGCTCTGTACTATACAGGGTGAAAATTCCTCTTGAAAAAGAAACATTTTCCATTTTTCTCTCCGGGCTTTCGTTTTCGAGATAGACGGTATCAAAACTTCGGCGGTCGCCGGATTTATTCCCACTTGATTATTTCTTATGAGGTTCCATGAAGAGGATGAAACCGCTGTCAGTACGGTCGAAGAATTGACCGCTAGGATTGAAACCACAGCGGAACAAATTAGAAATACCCATCAAATTATGAACAATGTTCATAGAAACAAGATCTGACGATGTAATACGTGTATTCAAGCCAACGGACATAATTTTGAACAGTTTTTTTTTAAATTTTAGTCGCTAAAGTGATAAAAAATTATTTTTAAGTTTTTTTAAGTTAAAATCCTATCTGTTGTTAAATTTCGTTAACATTGTTAATTATTACTACCTATTTTTTGAAATACAAAAGATTTTCGAAACGTTAGCAAAATGTTTATTTTTGTTCACAAAAAGTCATTTTTCTTGAAAACGGTTAACTTTAGAGCAATGAACCAAGAGAACTCTTTTTGTGTAAACTAAAACCGCTGTATCTTTTCTATTGCGTCACAAGGAATATTCGTATGAACTAAGACGAAAAATCCTAGTCAAATTAGCCACTGTTTTCATATAATTGGTAATTCCCAAATCTGGATTTCTAGCAAATTTTAATACTGGTGTTACTGGATATGAAAAAAAAGCCAAAAAATCGATATTTCAACGCTCAGAAAATATATACAGGGCTGGAAAATCCACATGATCCATCTGCCTTTACATGAGAGCGACAAAGTAAAGTAAAGAAATCCGTGCGATAGATAAGGACGGCTATTGTGAAGACATTTCATAATCTGAATAGTCACCGCCCGTTTCGGGTTAGAAGTGGGAGTGACTTTTCAGATTATGAAACGTCTTCAATGTAACCATCCTTGTCTATCGCACGGATTTCTATGACTTACTTTATCGCTCTCACGTAACGGCCGATGTACCATGGGGACTTTCCGAACCTGTATAACAGTTAGTACGGAGACGCGATCAAAACAACTGTAAAATTTTTAATCTGAATATCAGTTCTGTTTTTAAATGCGCTAGTCAAACTATAGTCTAAAATTAATACCCAACAAACGTCCTCCATTTTCTTTCACTCTAATACACATAAAATATTGGAACGGTTGTCTGGAATAGATTGAGACTATGAAGACATTTATACCATCATTGTATCTCTTTTTAGCGCGTTTAATAATGAATACACGTCCGCAACGACTGTCTTTGATATTAGGACACACGCGTGACGTAATGGCAGTCTTAAAACGGTTCTACCACAGGTTCTACTATAAAATTCATTGGCGCTTCAGAATTTGCTGTCAAATGTCAATTTTCCCAGTGGCGTAAAAGTTAGGGGGTAAAACCAATGACGGTACCTTAAAATCTCCACCACTGGCACGTCCAATGAATTCGAGAAGGGTGCGAAAAAGTAGTTACTAATAGTGGTAATATGTGTACAAAAGCTCAGTCCTGTAGTTCAAATGGTTCCTAAATATTGGTAAAAAACTAAAAAAAAAATTGTTTTAACACCGTGTATCTCGAAAACGAAAGACCGGAGTGAAAAATGAAAGAGGAAAAAATCTTTCTTTTTCAAGAATAATTTACAGTTTTTCGTTACGACACTTATTTAGGAACACCTTATATACTACCATAATTTCTAATGTATAATAATACTAGTGTACTTTTTTTTCGGTATTTTATTGTATACAGGGTGAATCATTAATAATAGTACACAGCTTAATGGCAGATTGTTCACGTCAAAATAAAACGATTGAGCCAAACATGCTTTAATCAATTGTTGCTCCTTTCCTTTCGTTCGTTTCGTTCTACAGGGTGTTAAAGTTGAAAAAAATATTTTTATACTTGTTACAAATCGATAAACTCGAGATACAGAAGTTTTAAGTTTTTGAGATTCTGCGGGAAGTACATTAGAAAATGAGCAGTTGCTAATATACCTAGCCTAAATTAGGAATTAAGACAGACATTACAGCATCTGAAAATTTTATTATGCATATCTTAACAAATTATTAATCATAAAAGATTCTCAAAGCAACCACCAGCGATTTCAATGGACTGTTATTTAAATTTTGTCTGACGTTAAATAAAGTTCTACGTTGTTTGATAATATGAACTGATTCTTTAATATTTGTTCACAGTTGTTCTTGACTATTAATAATGTCTTTGTAAACTAGAAATTTAAGATTGCCCCAAAAGTAAAAATGCAGTGGATTTAAATAAGGGCTACGTGCAGGCAGAGGTACTTCTCTATCGCTAATAAAAGGCTAAGAAAGTGCATTTAAGAGCGACTTCAATCCACTGCATTTTTACTTTTGGGGCTATCTTAAATCTCTAGTTTACAAGGACATTATTAATAGTCAAGAACAACTGTGAACAAATAATCAAGAATCGGTTCATATTATCAAACAACATAGAACTTTATTTAACGTCAGACAAAATTTAAATAACAGTCCATTGAAATCGCTGGTGGTTGCTTTGAGAATCTTTTATGATTAATAATTTGTTAAGATATGCATAACAAAATTTTCAGTTGCTGTAATGTTTGTCTTAATTCTTAATTCAGGCTTGGTATGTGCTAATTTTCTAATTTAATTCCCGCCGAATTTCAAAAAGATAAAACGTCTGTATCTCGAAAGCAGTTGAGTTTATCAATTTGTAACAAGTATACCTTTTTTATTTAGAATTGAACATAGTTCAATAATATAAAAAGTTAGACATATTTTTACGTCGGTGGGACAGTATAACTAGCGCCCATTAGACGTGACCCCAACACTGTTTGCATATTCGTATTTGCCATCTCAAAAAACCACAAATTTTGAGAACAATAGGTTCATATATACATAAAAAATCGAAAATATTTTTTCAACTTTAACACTAGGCAGAACGAAAAGGAGCAATAATTGACTAAGGCATGTTTGGCTCAATCGTTATATTTTGATGTTAACAATCTGCCATTAAACTGTAAACCATTATTAATGACACCCTGTATTTGTTATAGTGGTAATATTTTTATTAATTTTGTAAAGAACAATTTGTAAAAATGGAGAGAATAATTATTATTTAAATAAAAGTCTGGACATAGTTTATAAATTTGATTAGGAACATTCATATAGTATGCAGATTGTAGATCAAACGACATTGAAAATGCATATTTTCTAGTAGGATGCCATTACAAAAATTACACAGGCCAGGTTTATTTTGTGTATTTTGATGACTTTTTATATCAGTGTGACAGTTTGTATGTGATTATATTTGTTATATTATTATTTACTATGCTGTAAATAAACATTGTATTATTATTTACGGCCCACAAAAAGGTGCTATGTATTCAATATCACTTGGGGTGGTTTAATTTATAAATGTGATAATAATTATCAAACACACGTTTTCAATCTTAGTAACAAAAACATCCTTGTAGTAGGTACATTTACAAGGAATTAAACTGTAGAGCTACAATAAAATAAGTGGTAGTAGTGCTCAGAAGAGCGAGCAAAGTGGATCTTTTTATTTCGAAGAAGCCAGCGGCCGTCATTTGCGGCCTATTATTTTTTATTATCTTCTTCAGGATGTCCAATTCTTCCAACTCTTTGGAATGCAAGGGCAATGTTAGCTCCAGTCTGTAGCAGTTCGTCAGCAACCTGTCTGTTTCTCTTATGACTGAGTCGCAGCAGAATATTATAGCTGTCAACCAAACCTGCAAACAAAATATTATAAAACCTTATCGACCTATTACGACTACTTAAAATTTTAAACATTGCATTGTTATTATACAGGTGTTTCTGAAATAAGTACGTTTCTTGAAAATGGTGATAGAGGGCAATTTATTAAGCAACTGGTGGTGGAAAACATTCCGTTTAAAATTGAAATATTTTTTTCACATGAACGTTTAAGCAATATAGCCGTCACTGGTGCGGCAGCCAGCTGTACCTTTGATATCTAGGGCACCCTCATGCATGACAAACATTTGTAAAGGGACGTATTTCACGTTCCAACAAACATCACACCACACATTCACTGAAAACCGTTGCTGGAACCGTGATCTCTATACAACGTCAGAATTTGCGTCACGCCAATAGTGAATGTTGTGAAAATAAAACATCATCCGTAAAAAGCACCTTGTTTGTAAAATCCGGATCTTGTGCTATTTAATGTCGAAACCACTGGCAAATTTCACACGGAGCTGAAAATCATTGTTATTTAATGTCTGAACACTTTGTATGTAATAGGGGTGTAATAATTGGTATTATACATGGTACTGTTGGATACACCCTCTTCTCTCTCGACCAATGTCGCAAATACTGCGCCTCGTTGTCGCAAAACATGTTGCGGCCTTTCCCGTCCACGACCTTCATACGTCAGGTATCTCGTAACCTTTGAAGTGCCTTTTGCACTGTTCTACTGTTAGGTTCTCGTCTGTTATGGTAACGGACCACATACAAACGATATTCTCCATACATTAACACTATATCTGTTAGTTTAAACATTTAAACCATCAGTTACTTAATAAAAGTTTCTCATTTTCGTGCCCTCTATCACCCTTTTCAAGGAACGTACTTTTTCAGGAACACCCTTTATATTCATGTAAATAATAATATCGATGGTAGAATACAAAGTTCACTGTTAATTAGTATTAGTTTTAATAATTACATGGTAATAATGTTGAAACCTTTATTTATTGTGCAATTATTTATTACACGGGTATAAGATATAGAAAAAACACAGATACAAATAATTATTTGATATTTATAAAAAGTATTTATTATATTTACATTATCATGGCATTATTAACCGTATTCCGCTTTTTTACAAGGGATTTGTGCGCTGTCATCGTTGATGTATTCAGGAGTATTCAGGATTAATCACTATTAAAATGCAAAATAAGTAAAAATGTAGTTAAAGCCGTAATAGAGATGTATCGAACCTTACGAGCAAGCAGTTCATTCACATAGAGATTAATTACAAGCACATTTATCAAAAAAATATCATGTGTTCATTTTTATCCAAAAAAATTTTAGTGACATTTCCTACATTCTTTTTTATAAAAAAGTTGTTTCAAGGTTTCTTTCCATGCATATTTATTTCCGAACACAGTATCCAAAACTGTTAACAGATGTTTAGTCAAATATGCCAATTCTATTAATACTACTAACAGTATGGATACAATTTCATTAATATAGATCCAAGATTGAATCACCGATAGAACAGTATTAGAGAAAGAAATAACATCGATGTGATTAAGACTGTTGATAAACATTTGAACGTTTTCTTGCACACCATTATGTTCTGCTGTGGTGACTAAACATATATGGAAGTAAAATATTGAGGAAAGCTATACTAGTTTTTCTATGAATAATGTTCTGTTGAATTCTTTTAAACAGTTTAACGCTGCAAAATTAGGATATCTGCTAATTTAACATAATAGTATTTCTACTACAGACCCTATCTAGTTAATGCCATTATTTACAAATAATAACTTTTTACAATATCGTCAATGGTCAGTTGTTATTACGTGACTATTTTTATTAACTGATTTAAATCATCAAATTATAATTATAGGCCAGTCAAAATCGACACAAAAAAATCGCTAAATTCGCAAACATGAGGATGACGATGACGAGCCTCAAGACAATCCTGACGATCCACCAATACTGGAGTACCTACCTATAGGGGACGAAGATGGCGACCCACCAATAGTGGAAGACATACCTACTTAAGAGAGCAATGAAAGTGACGGCCCAGGGCCATCAAAAACAGGGCGACGAATTTGACTGTATGTCTAATTTGATTGACTGATTGACTGATTTAGCTACTGTACTTTTGATGACTTATGTTTATATTAAAATATATTTCACCGTTTTTTTAAATGATTTCATGCCTTTTTTTCATTACCAAACCAAAAAACAAAAGATAGGAAAGATTATGGAACATTTCTGAAAAATGTGATTTTACCTTGTTGTTTCCGATGTTTTTTTCCGGTTTTGAGAGAACTACGAGGCTTACAGACCCACCTGTACGCTTAATTTAAAGGTAATGAAATTGCCTACAAATTATATTCTACAAGTTCTACTCGTAGGATCAATGGCAATTTCGGTCCAAAGTATGTCTAAAACTAAAATTTTCAAATTTTGGAAAAACTGGCCTATTTTCAAAGTGCCGTAATTCGGTAACCAATTGACTTACAGAGTTTAGGTTGGGCTTAGTTTGTCACAAATTTGATGCTCTTAAAAAACGTATTGAATAGTTTTCGACGAAAAATGCATGGATTAGGAGATATAGAGCAGAACCTGAAACAAGTCCAAAAATTTCGCGGTTTTTGGTGTGTACAAATTTTTCTACAACTATTTGAGAGTTGCAAACTTGGGTATACATAGCCCTGATGGGTCCAACCTACATACTAAAAAATCAGAGATACATCATGTTTTGCGAATTTATTGTCGATTTTGATCGGCCTATTATTTTGACTAGCACAATGTGAAACAGCTCAAATACTAGTTAATGGTACAGTACAAATCAAATTTTTGCAAAGAACCACTTGCTACTGATGAAAGGATTGCCTATGTTTGTCTATATTTAAAATTTTAATATTATTTCTTCTAAATTTTCATCTTAGACAAAATCAGAACCAAATAACCTAGGATATTAAATAAGAAAAAATTATTCTGGTATTTGTTTAAAAAAATTGATAGAAATAGCAAATTTAGAGAAAGTCAGTTCTAATATTAATCCAGTAAGAAAAGGTTTTTTCCAGGAAAAAAAATGTAGAAGTTTTTGCCTCATCGGTTCTATATGTTCTTTGGGGTGCTGAAACCGAATTTGTGGATTGCTACCTCGCTAGGCATCGGCTTTACAAGGAAAATGGCAAAAAACCTAAAATATTCGGCACTTTTTTCAGTTTTTCAACTATAGGTAACTCGAAAACTAAGAGTTTTTTGATTATAACTATGATATACCAAATTAAAGTAGACAAAATTTCCTGCAAATACGTATAGTAACTCTAAAGTCTAGACAATCCATAATGTCGTTAGATCGAGTTGAAAAAATTGCATTTCTTGACTTCCCGCTAAAACAGTTGAAAACGTTATTCTAACTACGTGCTGCGCTGGTGCCCTACTATCAACTTCATACACCTCTAAAATCAATTATTTTATGATTACCGAGTATGTCTAAGTTACATTTAAGGAATTGTCAAACGTGAGTGAAGTCCATATATGGTCAACGGGCCTCCTAGTTCAAACAAAATCGTACTACTCTTAATTCAAGGAGAAGATAGAAGGTTTTGGTAAAAGAAAACATATTTGGAACATAGTATCTATACGAAAAAAAGCAAAAACACCATTATTTGATAATTTTCATATTCATTCGTCGTCCTCATCAGCACAATTATCACTTGAAACAACGACAATGGAGACTTTAAGTAACTATAATAGAATCTATGTCGTTCATATTCATCATGGACAAAATTTGTTATGTTTTTGCACAATAGACTTAATAATATTATTTTTAAAAAAGAGAAAACCGAAAATAAGATGAGGAAAAAGACAATATCTGCATAAGGCTCAGGATTGCGTTCGCAGATGTTCCGTTTACATGGACCAGGCTGTATATCCGGAGCGTCCCCAGCTCCAGAGAAGCTTCTCTCATTGCCTGCAAGTGCCAGAAGGACTGCAAGGACAATTGCGGATGCAGAAGGGTTGAGTTATACTGCTCCAGACTCTGTTTGAATTGTGAAGGAATGTGCCAGTGTAGAAATACTGCTCAGTGATGACGATCAAGACGTTTCATCTGAGAAGATCTAAGGTAATTATACTATTACAAGTAATTATTATTCTAGTCTAGTATTTATCACTGTAAATTAGGAAGTATACCTTCACAGATCAAAATGTCATAATAATATTTTTTCCAGTGGAGAGACCAGCGCCCATCCTTCAAGAGTTCGAGCAGTCCGCTGCCCGGACAGGACTAAAAAGAAAACATTACGTTGCTCCTGGTCCATCCAAACGGAACATCTGCGAACGCAATCCTGAGCCTAATGCAGGTATTGTCTTCTTCTTCATGTTATTCTCGGTTTTTTCTTTTTTAAAAATATTATTAAACTGTATTGTGTAGACATAATAAATTTTATCCATAATGAACATGAACGACATGGATTCTATTATAGTTATCTAAAGTCTCCATTCTCGTCGTTTCAGGTGATAATTCTGCAGATGAAGACGACGAATGAATATGAAAATTATTAAATAATGGTGTTTTTGCTTTTTTTCGTGTAAATACAAATTTGTTCCAAATATGTTTCCTTTTACCAAAACCTTCTATCTTCCCCTTGAATTAAGAGTAGTACGATTTCGTTTGAATTAGGAGGCCCGCTGACCATATATGGACCTTACTCACGTTTGACAATTCCTTAAATGTAACCTGGATATAGTAGGTAATTATAAAATAATGACTTTAGAGGTGTATGAAGTTGATAGTAGGGCACCAGCGCGGCACGCAGTTAGAATAACGTTTTCAACTTTTTTAACGGAAAGTCAAGAAATGTCATTTTTTCAACACGATCTAACGACGTTATGGATTGTCCAGACTTTAGAGTTATTATACGTATTTGTAGGAAATTTTGTCTACTTTAATTTGGCATATCATAGTTATAATTAAAAAACGCTTAGTTTAGTACACAAGACTTATAAGGACACTAATACCTGTATGGGAAAGTTTCAATAGCAGTGGCCAACCAAATACCCTGTTGAACCCATCCACTGTGTCTCCCAACATTAAAAA